TTCACTGGGGACATCGTGGGGCGCAGAGCGGGCACCGTGCTGCATTGGGGACATGGGGACAGAGTGGGGCATCGTGGTTCACCGGGGACACTGTGGGGCACGGAGCGGGCACCGTGCTGCATTGGGGACATGGGGGTGCAGAGCGGGCACTGTGCTGCATTGGGGACATGGGGACATCGTGGTTCACTGGGGATGTCGTGGGGCGCAGAGCGGGCACCATGGTTCATTGGGGACGTCGTGGGGCGCGGAGCGGGCATCGTGCTTCATTGGGGACATGGGGGTGCAGAGCGGGCACCATGGTTCATTGGGGACATGGGGACATCGTGGTTCACATGGGGACATCGTGGTTCACTGGGGACATCGTGCTGCATTGGGGACATGGGGGTGCAGAGCGGGCACTGCGCTTCTTTGGGGACGTCGTGGGGCGCGGGGCGGGCACTGTCTGGTTCAGTGGGGACACGGGGGTGCAGAGCGGGCACCGTGGTTCATTGGGGACACGGGCACAGAGGGGGACATGGTGCTTCATTGGGGACATCGTGGGGCGCAGAGAGGGCACCATGGTTCATTGGGGACATGGGGACAGAGTGGGGCATCGTGGTTCACTGGGGACATCGTGGGGCACGGAGCGGGCACTGCGCTTCTTTGGGGACGTCGTGGGGCGCAGAGCGGGCACCGTGCTGCATTGGGGACATGGGGGTGCAGAGCGGGCACTGTGCTGCATTGGGGACATGGGGACATCGTGGTTCACTGGGGACATCGTGGGGCGCAGAGCAGGCACCATGGTTCATTGGGGACGTCGTGGGGCGCGGAGCGGGCATCGTGCTTCATTGGGGACATGGGGGTGCAGAGCGGGCACTGCGCTTCTTTGGGGACGTCGTGGGGTGTGGAGCGGGCACTGTCTGGTTCAGTGGGGATATGGGGGTGCAGAGCGGGCACCGTGCTTCATTGGGGACATGGGCACAAAGGGGGGGCCCCGTGGTTCATTGGGGACATGGGGGTGCAGAGCGGGCACCGTGCTGCATTGGGGACATGGGGACA